TTATAGGCAATATTAAGATAATCTTTTAAATAGGGGGGTAGCATTCCATATCTCAGCCGTGAAGTATTTGAATATATTAGCAACACAATACCAGCGTTGCAGTTTTCATTATCAACTATTGACCATATGACAGATTCGGTAAAATTATTCAACGATTCTCTTAGTGCCTATGTCGGTTACCCAGAATGCCTCTCTCTGTTGATGGTACGGGACCCCTGCGAGGTCACACCGAGTGGGTATAACGACAAAAATACAGTACCTCTTTTTACCAGACGAGGAAAGGAAAAATTAGACCCGAAAAGGTTCCTTTACACTAAAGATGCTACCGTGATTTTCTAATGACTTTGCTCTCTTGTAGATATATGGATGTTGTAGAAAGCCTAACACCTGATATCTACCAAGGTTTATGCGATGCCGACACAAATGTGGGTAGCTCCAAAAAGCGTTTGACCAAGAGTGTCCATCGCACAACCCAATTTATGGATATCTGCTATGATCGACATAAAAATTCTAATAATTCAAGCAAGTGTACACTATTTGGTAAGTATGGCTGACTTCCAAAACGTATCAATACAATAGCTGACTTCCAAAACGTCAATTGCTTTGCATACGTACAAAGTATAGGGTTCCATAACGTCGAACTACAAAATATTGACAATGTATACTGTTCCAAAACGCAGCCGAAAAGTTATCGAAACGTATCGCTAGAGCAAACAGCGCATCAGAAACAAAGTTGATGCTTTGGGGAAAATTTTCCAATACGGAACCCGGCTTTTTAAAAAAACAAAAATGAGGAGGTTTAGAGCGGCGTTTTGTCATTGTAAATCTGACTACCTCCCCCTCCGGAGGCTTATAGTTTTTAAGAAAATTGAATATTAAGTTGCAAAAAATGTTAACTTCAACCTCACTTTTTGCTTTGCAAACCAATTGAACTAAAATGTCGGTGCTGTCACACAACAAAAAATGCCCAAAAAAAAAAGCGCTGAAAACTAGAAACAATAAAAATGGTCATTGTAATTAATTTTTTTTAAATTAAATATCGATGTATTGATAAAAAAAAAGTGATTCAGTCTAAAATCGAGAGATTTTGTAATAAAAATCGCGCGATTTTTTATTAAAAATTTTCATTATTTATCGAAGTATTGATTTTTTGGGAAAAGCGCCGCAGGTTAAAATTTTTAATAAAAAATGGCCGGGTTCCGAATTGGAAAATTTTCCCGTATTCCCCTTCACTTTACACATTACTCGATTAGTTTTAACTTTCTTTACGACTTTAATATTAACCAATTAATCACAATTCATTAAATAAAAACACCTACAAAATCACGCGTCTGACTTTGGTTGCATATGCAACTTAAATGGCGGAGTTCAGCTGTCAAACTCCAAAATATGCAAAAGAATGAGAGACAAAAGAAGATAGGATATAACCCAGTAAGCATTAAAAATATACGGTAAAAGTCCACTTTAGCGGAACCAGGAACCAATGTATATGGTTGCAATGTTGCGCAACTCTGCATATACAAACAGTTTGAATACCGCAGTATAACAGTTTCCAAATATTGTATTGATACGTTTTGGAAGTCAGCCAATGTTTGGATACTGTTATACTGCGGTACTCATACTGTTTGTATATGCAGAGTTGTGACACATTGCAACCATATACATTGCATATTTTAAATATTCAATATATCAATGAACAATTTTTCTGAATTGTCCATTTTTGAAGCACCAATGGTAACCAATAAAAACCAACATTACTCGACCAAGGGCTGTTGTTTCGGCGATCTAACCCCGTTTAGGTCGGCAAAGTATCTCAGAAATTGGTTGTCCATAGGGCTACATTCGCTACGTATACTTCTGCTCAGGGCTGGCATCGAGTCAAACCCAGGGCCAGAAACCTACACCTGCTGTGTATACCAGAGACGACTACACCACAACTCCACCTCAGTCAAGTGCAATGCTTGCGAGGGGTGGAGCCACCTCAGAGTCTGCTCAGGACTACGGACACATTGGCAGTGGACCACATCTGATGTGGCCCCCTGCTGCTCAAACAGAGCAGCCTCCACGGCTCACCCCAGTCTACCTGAGCAGCTCAACACAGACACCACAACACAACAACACAATAGACTACCCCACAACCGCGACAGACCACATTACAGACGCAAACACGTCGCCGCCAACAACTCCTAGTTCCTCGTACAATGCATATACAAATCTTGATACTGGGCCTGCATCCGGTGTTAGTTCCTCATTTGTCTTTGGTTCCCTTTACCTCTCATACGATGATGCAGCGAAAGGTGTTGTTGATATGAAGACTTCCGCAAGACCTGACATCGATTGAGTATCCGCACTTTTATTAAAAAAAACTGTCCAGCACTGATCCTTCCATTGAAAATTATCCTTAACAAGTCTCTTTCTACTGGGATATTTTTAGATGCGTGGAAATTGGCCTCTATAACTCCAATTTTCAAAAGTGGAAACAAAAATGATATTAGTAACTATAGACCGATTTCTAAACTGTCTACCGTGTCTAAACTGTTCGAATCCATCGTTAAGGATAAAATGTATTTCTCGGTCAAGAGCATCATGGTTTTGTACCTGGGTGCTCCACGGTTTCAAATCTTGCGGTCTTTAGTGAATATTGTATTTCGGCTTTTTCTAATGCATCTCAGGTGGTTTGTATCTAAACAGACTTTTCGAAGGCTTTCGACAAGGTATCGCATAGAATTCTAGTTACGAAACTCGAACGCCTAAGTTTCCATTCTGTATTTTTAAACTGGCTTAAGTCGTATTTGTGTTGCAGGCGTTGCGTTGTTACGGTAGACCATTTTTCGTCTGATATCTTCGTTGCGACCTCGGGCGTGCCTCAAGGTAGTATTCTCGGACCAATGCTTTTTGTTTTGTTTATAAATGACATTAGTTCATGCTTCTCTTTTTCAAATTATCAGTTAAAGTGTGTTTGCATTGTTCAACTTTGCGTTCAACATTTGCGTTCAACTCAGCGCAGGGTTGCACGAAAAAAAAGTTGAATGGCTAAAAATATCAAAATATGAAAAAATATCAAAATATTCGCCATAAAAAGGTGTTTGCATCGTTCAACTTTGCATTCAACTTTTGGTTGAATGGCCTTTCAACTAATCGCTTTCAACAAAGTTGGTCGCCAGCCAACATTTAGCCATTCAACTTTTTTTCGTGCAACCCTGCGTTGAGTTGAACGCAATTGTTGAACGCAAAGTTGAATAATGCAAACACTGCTTTATATGCCGACGATTTGAAAATATTCTGGAACATAACGAGCCTTCCGACATGCTCAAACTTCAAACAGAGCTTGACAACCTGCACGCTTGGTGCCTTCAATCGCGCCTTTCTCTTAATGTCAATAAATGTTTTCATGTTATGCAGCGTTTTTGCTGCATTTAAAATGCAACATTTAGCACTTTCGAACATATGTTTTCGAAGAGCGTTCATGCTACCGCATTTAGCAAATGTACATTTACGCGAGTTCGAAATCGTATGCTTTTGACAAACAGCCGTGTTCCAGTCGCTTATTCAGATCCGTATCTATTACGATAAATTCTCCCGGAAAAGATAATGTGCAAAAACCCTACTGAAAAGGAAAAAATAAATTTTAAACCAAAACTTCAATACAAAAATTTGAATTGTTTTAACCATGACCGACCATTTGTTTTTGTTTTATTCATTTGTCGGTGCTGTCAATTAAAATTTCTTCACTTAATTAGGAAACAAAACAAACAGAATTGATCACAAATTGATCCAGATTTCTATCAGCATCACATCGATATTGAATTTTATTAACTTTTCTTTATCCAAATAATGTAAAATAATAATTGAAATCTCAATCGGCGATCACTGAAACGCAGCTAGCCACTGTATACTCGAAAATGCAATGTTGCCACTTTTTATCATTAAACCATGTTCGAATCGTGGAAATTTTGGAAGATCACAGGGTTGCTTTTAGCATTTAGATTCTTAATGCAAAAATGGAGTTGCATTTAGTTGCATTTAGGTGACGAATTTTGTATGGATAAATGTACATTTAGAGTAGCATTTAGAGCTAAATGCGCTAAATGTGCTTTTACGCGTAAGCAAAAACAGCCCATTATTACTTTCTCTAAGTCCCCAAATGTGTTTGTTGCCTCGTATCGTATCTCAGGCAGCACGCTGCAGCTTATCAGAGAAACTAAGGACCTTGTTGTCATATTTGGAAAAATGGAGGTCTGTCCTTTCCCTAACTTTTGTGTTGGGCATTATTCAAGGAACTGTTGACTGTCCTTACCTCTTGGAACGTATCCACTTTAATGTTCCGCAAAGATCCCTTCGGTTCTGCTATACGTTTTACTGTAGTTATTGTAAAACGAATTATGCTCGGAATTCGCCCCTCCTCAGAGCTGCTAATGAATCCAATATAATCTCTAATTGTATCGATATCGCTTTTTCGCTACAAAAGTCATCATTTGTGAATATTTTAAACTCAATTATCTAAATTAAGTAGTTAAATTAAATACTTTTAACCTTCCCATAGTCTGTAAGAATTTATTGTTCGTCATCCCTTGTCAAATTTGACACAAATGACACTGAAGATGGCACAACGCCGAAACCGGTTTGTCTCCAAACCAAATTTGAGAAGGGATGACGGAAAATAAATTCTTACAGAAACACAAACACAAACAACCAAAAAGAATTTATTGTTCATAGACTATAATAATAAATAAAATAAAAAATAAATAATGTGACATCAGTCAAGTGCAACACCTGCCTTGGCTGGTGCCACTTTAGCGCATGTTCAGGTCTGCGCACCACGCGAGATTGGGATAGGAACTTCGAGGGCCCGTGTTGCGCTGCCCGATAGCAAACCCCAACTGTGACGCCACCCACTACCACCACAGGGCGGCAACCTCCACAGAAGCGCGCACAGCCAATGGCGGCAAGGCTACACACATCCCTCACACCCCGCATAACTACACGTCTCCCGAACCTCATGAAGCTCCTTCAATTCAACTGTAACGGACTTCAGAGTAAGATTGAGGAGATAACCGTTTTCATGGGAAGGCATGGTATATTGATAGCTGCGGTCCAAGAGACAAAGTTGCACAGCAATTCAACATTGTTGAATTGTGCAGGGTACAACGTGCACCGTCGAGATCGCGAGCGAGATAATGGTGGTGGCTTAGCGTTCATCACGCACCACGCCGTGCAGTATCGTCTTATTGAAGCAGGCATCGACCGCAGGGATACCACCCTAGAATGTCAGGGCATTGCTATCCGTTCAGGCGATGTTGAGCTCGAAATATTTAATGTATATTTAGCCCCTGTCACTTGCTGCCCGGCAGGATATCACCCTGACATAGGTGCGCTCCTCAGAGGTGAAAACCGTATGGTAGTAGGTGACTTCAATGCGCACCACGATCTTTGGCACTCAAGCCTGTCAAACGATCGTAGGGGAACAGACTTGGCTGAGCATATAGACGATTCGACATTCTGCACAATGAACGACGACGCACCCACCAGGATTATGGGCAGCTGCTGCAGCTCGCCAGACAACAATAGACAGCGCTGGTCTGGTAAACAGCGTATCATGGCGACCTATGCTGACTTTGGCATCAGACCATCTGCCCATAGTCATCTCGATCGATAAACCAACCGACTTTGCTTCCGCGGAACACCGGATCTATATAAACTTTTCTAAAGCTGATTGGAAAGGCTTCGCGGAATTTACTGAGAGCACCTTCGCTGCGCTCCCCACACCAACCGACGTCCACCTTGGTGAACGTAAGTTCCGCAGGGTTGTCACTGGACCCACGTCCAAATTTCCCTGCCGAAGCGGCTGTTCTAGCCGATGAGCGTGACAGCCTTCGTCAGGCCGATCCCGGAAATCCCCGTATCAGGGATCTCAACGCGGAGATTCGGCAATTAGTGAACGTAAATAAGCGGAAGAAGTGCGAAGAGCATCTGAAGACCTGTAACTTCACCTCTGGTGTGAGTAAGCTTTGGTCAACCGTGAGGTCACTGCCCAATCCGACGAAGCACGACGATAGGGTCGAAATTTCTTTCGGCGACCATTCTTTGTCGGACCCGGAGCGATGCGCGAGCTATTTTAGCCGGCAGTTCATACTGCATCCTCCGGTGGACAAAGCCAAGCGTCGAGTGACCAGAAGGCTGCACAAACTGCCAACAACTTGTGCCCCCCTTGCTTTCACTAGCGGTGAAGTTCAGGTGGCCATCGGGAAGGCAAAAGCCTCCAAATCCATGGGTCCCGACGGAATATGCATGCTGATTCTGAAAACTTTGGGTCCTGCGGGAGTAGCGTACCTTACGGAGGTCCTCAATATGTCTATAGCCACTCTCATCATCCCAGACATCTGGAAGGTGGGGAGAGTGGTCCCACTGCACAAACCGGAGAAACCAGCCAAAAAGGAGATACTTGTCGACCGATAACACTCCTTTCCCCGGTAGCGAAGACACTAGAGACCTTGCTGCTCCCGTATTTCACAAACCACCTGACCCTAGCGAAGCATCAGCATGGTTTCCGTAAAGTGCACAGTACGTGGCCTTGACCGCAACCGTCCCTGTGAGAGAACTATGCTAGTAGCGTTGGACCTGTCGAAGGCGTTTGACACCGTCAGCCACTCCACGCTACTAGAAGATGTAGAGGCTTCCTCTCTCCCAGAGAGGCTCAAACGGTGGTCGGCGAATTATCTGAGTGGTCGACACTCGTCGGTAATGTTTAGAGACAAATCGAGCAAACTTAGAAAAATAAAACAGGGGGTTCCAGAGGGTGGTGTCCTTTCCCCGCTACTGTTTAACTTTTAGATTTGAAAGCTCCCTCAACCACCAGAGGGAGTCTCGATTGTCTCCTGCGCCGATGATTGCTCGCTCATGGCGACTGGGAATGGAATTGATAACTTGTGTTCGAAAGTAAACGGGTATCTCTCGTAGCTTTCTCGCTTCTTCACTGCAAGGAGCCTAACCCTCTCCCCCCCGAAATCCTCTGCGACCTTGTTCACCACCTGGACGAAGGAGCTGCAGACAACTCAGAATACCGCACTACGGACAGCGACTGGATGCCACCTACACGACGAGGCGAAATTGCTCCCTGTCAAGGAGCATAACACATTACATCTGCAAGCAGTTGCTTGTCGGGAGCCATAGACGTGGTCACCCGAATGGGCAGCTGCTTGCAGAAGAGCCCTCCCCCAGGCACGTCAGAAGGCATCTCTCGCATTAAACAACCTCTGGACCCGTCAGCATATCGACAGGCCCTGAACGGCATTCACAGGGAGTCAGTCCCGAGTTATGTAGACTCCAGACCTGTGAATGCCGTTCTAGGCGCACAACCACCAGACATAGACGAGACGGAGCTTCATCTGCCTCGGGAGACAAGAACCACAATAGCCCAACTTCGCTCTGGCTACTGCTACTCATACCTGAGAAGACTAAACGCGGATGTGCCGAATGAGTGTCCGGCATGCGGAGAGACACCTCATGACTGGAAGCATCTCTTCGTATGCCTGAAAACCCCAAGAATCCTAACGCCTTTGTCCCTGTGGGCCGACACCATAGAGGCTGCACGCTTCTTAGGGCTGCCGTTAGTGGAACTTGACGACAACGACGAGCTATTAACCTAATAAAAGGAATAAGTCCCAAAATTTTCAGGTCCAAATTTCAGTAAGTTGCGTCTGTGTGGCCTTTTCAGTTTTATAATCATTATTTTTAAGTAGAAAACTAAAACTCAATACTAATTATTATCTCTGAGCGAAAAAATAAAAATCATAAAATAATCATTATTTGTGTTCGAAAAAATAAAAATCAAATAAAAATAATTTCCGTTGAGCGAAAAAATAAAAATTAATAATAATTATTATTTTTGAGGGAAAAATATAAAAATCAATAAATACTAATTAAATGCTGATTTAAATTATTTTACTCATAATGATTACCGTCCCTGGTACAAAGTATGCAAAGCAATTAACGTTTTGGAAGTCAGCCTATTACTGTCGTTCAAGCATACACTCGTGCCCACATAAACTTTACCACCACTATAAAAAATTAGGTAGAATTTCGTTAACTAAGAAATCTTTGGTTTTTATTATACAGCCCTGATCTGCAATCCGATTCGAAGGATTTGTTTCCGAGAAATTTTTTTCCGGGAAATTATTTCCGATTCCACTTTTTTCTACATTGATGTCCTGCATTCCGAGTATCCGAATTTTTTTGTCGGAAATTTTTCGATCAAGTAAAAGCCACTGGAATAGAAAAAAAAACAAACATATATAATAGCCCATGGTGGAATTATACCAGGTGAAGTAATTATTAGAGCGAAAAGAAAGACTTTGACACTGCCTTATTTGAAAATTTGACTATAAGGCAGCCGAATTCAGAAAATAAAGCGAGAAAGCTGTTTTATTACTTCATCTGTTTATTGCGCCATGAAAATAGCCCAGTTCTCTATCGGTGACAAACATTTTTTTACTGATAAATTTAAACTTTTTCATATATTTTTCCGTAAAAAACACTGTGACGAGAATTTGTCACTGATACAGAATAGAGCCGTAAATAGTTGCGTTCGACAAGTCAAAAATTTGTAATAGTTTTTCCAAATTTTTACTGGATGGCGTTCGATAACGACAAAAAATTATCCAACACACAAAAATTGAGAGAGCAAGCGTTCATTTTGTTGCAAGAGGAGCGTTCATTTTGTACTGGCAAAATTTTACTCAGCAAAAATTATCCAACACGAAAACATATGATTACAAAACATATGGTTGCAATTTTTGTAAACAAACAAAATTGCATTTTTTCCCGTTTTGGTATTTATATGCTTTCTGGCCGCCTGCTATGTGACTCTATGATTGCGCCAACTAGTTTTTACTTCTAGAAATGTTCCTGGCGAACATTGAACGTTCACTTTCCTTTTTTCTTCCATGGAGGCAACATGAATTTCAGTTTGTTTACAAATAAAACATAAACAAAGTCAGCTGGTGTGTCTTCTTCTTCCGGTTTTTGCAAGTGATGGCTAATTTCCTGAGACTTAATTAGAATATTGACTTGCTAGTATCGGAACTATTTATGCACGTTTATTTGCCAAAAGTTTTTCAACGGCTCGGCGCCAGTGAGCCATCCGCAATCGTGTGCTGCGAATGCCGCATTATACTAAAGCCAGCCTTTCGACATAAGCTACTACTCCATACGAACATAGATATGTATGTATATTCAATTTATCGTTATACGTAAATATTATAAATGTTACTTTAAAAAATATTTAATATACGATTGTAATGCACTTTGTACGCAATATGTAAAAAACGTAATAAAAACTGAATTGGCATATTTTCTTGATAAAGAGCCATTTCCCAATGTTATAGAAATTGGTCCATTTTTACCATTTGGTCCATTTTTTGGACCGGAAAAGAAATTGGAAACGGCAATCGTGTTCACAACGGTGTCGTAAGCCTCGTATTGTTGTATGTCGTAAACTTTAAACGCCTAAAAAATATATTAAGGGGGTTCGCAAAGTACCATCAAAGTCATAATATGCATTTTCGCAGTGTTAAAAAATAGTTGGTTGTGGTTTCAAGTTCTCTAAACATGTATTTAAGCTTTTAAAGTTTACGACATACAACAATACGATACTTACGAATCCCTCAATAGTTTTAGTACATAGATCTCGAATCGCTTTCTAATCATTCTCTAACCTAATGTTTGTTGGGCGGTTTTGCAGCTTTTTAGACTATTCAGTTGTAGTCTATCGCTTTGTAATAATTCTCTAACCTAAATGTTTGCTGGGCGGTTTTGCAGCTTTGTAGACTATTCAGTTGTAGTCTAATGAAGTGTAAGTTTCAAAGCTGAAAAATTTCATGAAAATTAATGGAAATTTTGCCGCATTTTCCTAGTTTTTCTTCAAAGTTTGGAATTATGGGTTTTATGGTGTTTGTTGTACTATGAACCATAAAAAAATAACATAAATTACATAGGCCAATAAAAATGGGAAGCAATTTTGTTTCGTAAAATGTTAAAGCTGTTCTGTTTCTGTTTCTTTTTGTGCTGACTACGAATCCGTGAGTATAAAGTTTCCATCAGCTTTAGATTTTGAGAAAAACGAGGTCAAAGTGTCAAAAACTTGCGTTTTTTGCACTATTTGGGAAGATCTAGTAAAGAAACAAAAGGTGATAGAACCTTCCACTTGGGCTTAAATGAAAGCTAGAGTTCTCGACTACTATCCCTGAAAATACCATTCTTATAGTCATTTGTTGAATAGCAAAAACTGATTAAGGCGAAGTTTGTGTACCTACCGCAATTAAACAAAAGGTGGTAGAATTTTCCACATATGCTTAAATTAAGGCTTGAACTCTCAACTACAATTCCTGAAAATACCATCCCTGGACCTTGACCCTAAGGTCACTTATAGCGCAGAATAAACTGTATACAGAAGACGCATGTCGACTATCGAAGCAATTTGAATTTATAGCACGAGCGGTAAGGCAAGCAAGGGTATCACCAGCGGCGCTGCCTCTTTTACTTTAGCAGTATTTTCACTCGGCTGACGCTGTTAATTCCATCGTCGCTATGACGACAAGATGTTAACTAACTTTGGTTTCCATCACGATCAACGTTGCCGTTTTGATACAATTTTATCATT